GCGGCCCTTGACGGTGCTGCCTCTGTGTTCCCCACGCCGCCGAGCCCGTTCACTCCCCCTTGCTCCTCCACGGCACCATATGGCGGACCTCCGAATCAGAACATTATGGTGGCCTTCCGCTTCAGCTCCTTGTTTTCCACCTTTAGTACACATATTTCTGCTCGCGCATCCTTATACATGCGCTGGAGCAGAGCCAGTTGGGCGTTTAACTACTGCACCTCATTTGTCCTACTCTGCAGCCGGTGCGACAAGTTTGTGACCGCCGTCATGGTCTCCACACATGACTTCAAAGTATACTGATTGGCCTCAATATCTGATTGTGCTGCCATTCTTTGCTCCACAGACCGCATAGGAAAGGTCAACGGAGCAAACCCTGGGGCGCTTGGTTGAGGTTCAAGGGCCACCGCACTAGTTATCTCTCTTGTGGACTCGTTGAGGTAAGGAAAGAGAATGAGCAGGCCACGGGACGACGAGGCCATGTTCTGGGTAGCTGAACGGGAAGCAGAGGCCATGTTTTTGGGTTGCTGAGTGATTCAGCGAAGCAGCGATTTCCGACTGGTACTTTCAAAGAAGGATTGGTTACAGAGTGTTTACAGAGTATTTCAGAATGCAAATGTTCGGCGGTTTCAGACTGGTTTGCACAGCCTCTGCCTCAACCTTGGTTAAATAGCCAAGGCAGACACGCGCATCATGCGCCCCTCGGCGCTCGACGACAACATGGGCGCGCCTTTTGATGGCACGCCTTTTGATGGCACGCCTTTTTATGGATTAGGCACGCCTTTTGATGGCACGCCTTTTTATGGATTGGGCACGCCTTTTGATGGCACGCCTTTTGAAAGATTGGGCACACCTTTTGAGGGTGCGACTTTTTAGGGGTCCGACAAGACTCTGTAAACTGTCCCGACATTTGATTCCGGTTAGCTTTTCCAAGGGTCCGACAAGACTCTGTAAAATGTCCCGACATTGATTCCGGTTGGTTTCTACAAGGGTCCAGCAAGACTCCGTAAACTGTCACAACAACTGTCACAACATTGTCTGCTACAACGGTCCGACATGACCCCATAAACTGTCTTCTACATCGGTCTGACACGAGCCAGTGTCTTCTACATCGGTCTGCCATAACCATACAGTCTTCTACAACGGTCTGACACGACCATACAGTGTCTCCTATCCATTTTTTATTTTTCAGATTATTTTCTTGTTTTGTTACTCTCTCCAAACTCAAGTTGGTTAGTTCCTATCCCCCTTGAGTTTGCGGGGGGCTGTTAAAACCTACCATCACCTACTCCGCCTACTACACCTACCACCACCTCCTACCACCTACTACACACCTACCACTACCACCTACTACCACCTACTCCACTACATCTTCTATATAAGGAGCCCCTCACCATTTGTAATATATAACATACATCAATCAATAATACAATTCTCTATTTCTCTATACATCAATTTTATCAGCGCCATCTCCATCATTGCCTCAATTTGAGATCACATTCCACAGCTTCGCCTCTCTCGTTTTATCTTTCTCTTCTCTCCCCATTTGCCGCGGCTCTCTCTTCTCACTCTTCGCCACCGGTACCAGAGCAACAGCGGTGATGATGTCGTAGAACCTCAGATCTGAGTTGGTGGGCCGCCTCTGCCGCAGATCATTGGTCTTAGCTGGGGACTTGGAGATTGAAGACAAGTACGAAGGTTTTGAGATACTTGCCTTGTGATTGGGACTTGGAGATTGACCGGAGAGCCAACGGCCGCTCACATTCCTCCAAGAATTGGATGATGAACTTTCGCACATCTCAGATTCGAATTCAACTTTTTCTTCTTCTGTAAGCGCTTGGTTTGAGAAGATGATGCGCAGGACAACGCTTGCTCGACCATTGAAGAGGTGGATGGAGGTGAAAAGTTCAAAGAGGACGTCTAGTCGAGACATGGTGGCGGCAGCAGCATCAGTAAGGTTTTGTAGAATTGGTACGTCTGGAAGAAAGCTAATGTGTCTATTGTGTATGGAGTGAATGTGTGCACAAAATTCCAGCACCTTAGATTGGACTCCAAAAATTTACACGTTAGATTGGACTCCTTAGCAAAGAGGAATATGCACTGATGTCGAATTTTTGGCTGAACATCAGTGCTAAGGAGTCCGATTACAGTGCTGATGAAACCGACGATGGCGACTCTGATTCCGAAGATGTGTTTTCAAATCCAGATCTAGATCCACCACCACCGCGGTCACATGTCATCGCCACCACTGTTCTCTCTCTCTCATCATCTTCTCTCTCCTCTGATCTGGTCCCTAGCTACCATCGCCATCGTCATCTCCTTCAATCTGAAAAGCAATGGTTAATGCCACAAGATGATTACAAGGGTTTATTCAAAGAACTTCCATTTGTTTTGACAGAGATTAATCATCTCTCTCATTGTCTCTCAAAACTCAGCAGATTTGTGTTGTTTGTTAGAAAAATCTATTAGATTGGGATGATTTAGCTCAGTATCTGTTTGTTTAAATCCAACACAAACAGATACGAGTATTTGTGATACGTTTGTGTGATCTGTTTGTTTAAAGAAATTTGTGATATTTGGTGTTTGTTTATCTGTTTGTTTAAACAGACAAAAAAATAATTGAGAATCTGAACAGATAAAAGATTTCTAGTTTTTTCTCTCTCTCTCTTTGGATCAATAGATTCAATTTGGATAGATAAAAAAAATTTAGACAGATAGAATTTGGATAGAAAAGTTGTACAAATAAAAATACTGAATAGATAAAAATTGGACAAATTGAGAATTTACACAGATAAAATTTGGACAGATAAAAAATTTACACAAAAAAAAATTGTGCAATTAGAAAATAATTTGAATAGATAAATATAAATTTGAAGTAAAAAAAAAAAAGTCAACAAATAAATTAAGGGGTAAGATTGAAAACAAAATATCTTTCAAAACAAACAAAATGACTTTTCACCAAACTATTTCACAAAGGATGGACCTCTTACGAACAAAAAATATCTACTGAACCTAATGCCTAAAACAATTGCTAGAATGGATTTATCAACAATTTTCTCAAAATAAAATGTATGTTATAAATTCAAAACTAATAGCGAATGGATCACACTCACAATAAATCTAATTTATACATTTTATTTTTCGAGTACTTTTATTAAGCAGGGGCGGAACTGTATAGAGGTCAGAAGGGCCCCAGTCCCCTTCAATTTTTGATAATTTATTAATAATTCTATATTTATGAGTACTCGTAAAATGTATAATGAGATGATTTTTTAATTTTATAAGAATTATTTTACTAACTTTTTATTTCATTGAAACTTTGCAATGTCTAATGAAATGATCTCTAATTATTTCACATTTTAAATAATAGCGTAAATTTTATTAATACAAGAGATACATGTCACTTATTTTTTTTGAATTTTAAAAATCAAATGGTATGCATACTTTTTTATGAGTAATTTTACCTTTAAATTCATTCATAATGACATGGCTGGGGGTTTAGGTCTTAATTGATTGATTTCTAAACAAATCAACTAACATGTAACATTCAACATTATTGAGTATAAATTTAAGGGTTATGTTTTAAGAGTCTTAGGCATTTTCAATGTCTTAACAGATTGTATACTGAACCTAATAGTTCAATACTGAAAAGATTATTTTTTAGATTTATTTAGTTTTCTTGTCAAATACTTCTTTTGCAAGAAATTATATTTAATTAGTAATGTAATAAATGCAGCTCAAGAGATATGAATGGCATGAAGAAGAAGAAGACACGGAGTCAAGGATCAAAAATTTCATACAACAGCAGGTGAAATATAGGATTAAAATAGCTGCAGGACCATTTAAACAATGTAAAAAGATAAAAATATCATATACTGTTATAAACCGAATGAATCTATTAAAACGCGACTCATATTCAATTTATTAAAATCTCATTCGAGATCAATTCGTTATATAAATATAAACTAATCAAACTTGAACACTTTTGATATTCAAATAATTTTTTGAGATCAGTTCAATAAATTTATATATACTATAAAAATAAAAAGAATTAGTTACACTAAACAAACCTACACTTCACCAAACTGTCATTTTATTCTATTCACTTTCAATTATGACAATCAGGACCTTATACTTTAAGTTAAGTTGAAATGTTACAATTCCATCCACCTATTGTCAATGAGGCTGACAAGAATTAAAAATGAAGAAATTGAATTAAAATATTAGTGAAAATACAAGGACTGAAATTAAATTTTGATGAAAGTATAAAAGTGCAAATGAGATCAGAATAATGTAAGACTCACATCACAAGTGCCATCAACCTTATTAATATCAAATGGACATACTGATGACATTGCAACTTAATTAGGAATTAAAGCAAGTTTTAATAAAAGTTGTAAGGTGCTAAGTATAATTAACCCAAATAAATAAAAACAAATTACTAAAACTCAACCCGATTAGAGCTATTTTGAGATCACCTCAAAAGGTAAAGTTGGCATTGAGCACATCCTCAAGCTTATAAAGTTTTCCAAATCAAACTTAAACAATCTACAACTCGACTCGTTTGCAATCATATGCTGTGCATAACCACACAAATCAGTATACCAATGTAAAAAATAAAAATAAATAAAAAAAAATAAACTATTGCTGAAAGTGTTAAAATTGTTGATGAGCATCACAGCTGTGTAGTTCAAGGAAAAGTCCAGGATCTCAAGTCTTCTTTACAAGAGCAAAATGGTACAACATTTATACAACCCTTTTGCAGCAAACAACCCAAAAAACGCCTCTACAGCTGCATTCTCAAATTCAAACAAAAGCCACTATTTACAACAGAATAAGACTGAGGCTTAACCTTTCAATTGGAGCTGATCCAGCAGCTAAACCCAAACACATTGATCAGAGAGAACAGACAGCTTATTCTGCAACAGGCCCGACATTATTACCTCGTGGGCTTGCAGACTTCATCTAAGTTTTATCTGAAAAACTCTATTATACCAAATCGAATGAAGGGTCATGTGAAAGAGGTCATACTTCAAGGGCTTAGCATGCCAAAGAAAATGCTTCTGAACCTTCTGCACCGCGAGTTGCATATCAAGATACTTCTTTTCTGGTATAGAAACGAGTATGTCTTTCAAGTTAACGATATCTTTCTCTGCAATAATCACCGAGAATGCCCCCCAATCCAAAACCTCAAAAAAGGGTGGCACGAAATTATCGGATATGATAACGGGTACACACTCGTAAAAAATGGCTTCGACGACACGCGGGCTGTTGACCTCGTAACCCTTGGGGCAGATGCAGTACTTGCTGCTTTTCATGTGCTGGATGTAATTCATTTTGCTTGCAACTCCAGGAGGCATTGGGCCAAAGATCTTCATATTAGGGTCTTTGTCCTTCCAGTGCTTTAGCAAGATTGGACGGAGGTAACCATGCATGTTTCCAGCATAGAAGGCAAGTATGTGCCTTTTAGAAGGTGGCTTTCCGCTAAGATCCCTCAGAGGATTTCTGGCTGAGCGAACGTACGTTTCGGGAAGAGACACGTCCCTCCCTATTTTGAAGCCCGCAGTTACATCTGCATTGCAGAGCGCTTTGATACACTGTTCCATATGATGCCTTGTTTCATATGGAGCCTACAAAACATTCAATGCATCGAAACATTTCAGGATACCAAACACCACCCATAGTTCCAGTCCTACACCACCACAAAAACCTATGTTCCAGTCGTAATTACTATAAGGAAATTAATCTCAAAAACATCTATCTAGTCAGTATGAAATGCTAAGAAACACATACACGTACACATGACACGGCACGTGCATGCCGACATGAAATTTTTTTAAAATATTAAACATGACACATGACGGACACACAAAATATATAATTATATAACATACATAAGCAATTATAATATGTCACATAAATGCATGTTTAATTCAAATATAATAATTTTTAAAATATAAAAAGGAGTAGAATGTATAAAATTATGTTGTTTTTCATTTATCATTGGATTCCAAATTATCTTGTTAAAACTTATAATATGTTTCATGTGTGTAACGTATAAGCGATAGAAACATTTTTTTCCCAAGTGTTTGAAGGGTGCAAGAGTCTAAAAAAATTATAAAAATAGTAGGACATATGTGGATACGTGTCCCACAAGTGTTGGGAAATGAATAAGAAGTGTTTTGTTTTGTTGGTGTCCGAAATGACGACACGACAAGCCACCTTCTTAAATGACATGTTACTTTACAAAATTGTGGTTTAGTCATTTAAACACGTAGTTTTTTCAGTTAATTAACTCAATACTAAGATCTGGTGTATAAAAAAACGAATGACATGGTTGCATATTTTGACAATATTTCAAGCAAACACAATAAAAATTGGAGATGAGTGGAAAGCATACCCAATCATGGCAGGCAACAAGAAAATGGTCAGCTCCGCCAGTTCTATTCCAGAAGCGATATTTTGCTGCAATTTTTTCAGAGTACTGCTTCAAATGTTGACGTAGGTTTGTGCGATTGTGAGAGTTGCGTACATACAGGGTGTACTCAAGCATCCGTGAACTAAATGGCATGTAAAAAAGGTGTGCCTTTTGGGGATTCTTCACAACAAACTGTTTACTTCCCTCCATCAATTTCATAAACCATCCTTCAGAGGCATATAACCCCTTGAGTATTGGCTGATGAAAGATGGGTTTTTCTCCATCCTTGTAGATATAAACTTTGAGGATGCGTTCCATGAGTTCATAGCTCCTGCTAATGCAACCAAACAAATATTATAAAACAAATAAAATAAAATAAAAAATAAAAAAATGGACGAAATGCTCTCACAAAGAGATTGTACAGTGCAGAGTTCGTGAACACAGCGCACACTAAAAAAAACAATAAAGAAAAAGAGGAGTGCCATGCAGCAGAATTGGGAATTTTAGGATGAGGTAACCATCTAGATGAAATATTTGTTCTTCCTTGATGCCAAGAGTAACGAGAATAATTTCTAGACAACCCCCACCATACCACTGACATGAATAAAATATGGCAGAACATTGTCACCACTGCAGCATGTTTCAAAATTTGCTAAATCTTTGCGAGAATTCAATTAAAAGAGATGGTACTTAATTTCTAATTTCTAATTGGTCAAATTTGAATAAAAAGTCTAAATATTGGGTGAAACCAGAGAAGTCAAATTCATAATTTGAAAAATCATCCTTCTTCGTATTTTTAATTATTTTTTCCAAAAAATGTTCAGTTGTAATTTCAAAACATGGGCAAAATTAGTGAAATTCAGCCAATGAAAAAAATTAAAATTTTCAATTTTGACTGTAAATTTGTAAATTTGGGAAACTTCAAAGTTCGAGTAATATGCTAATTTAGGTGGAAAAAAAAATTTTGAAATTTTAAACCCATTTGAAATTCTACAGTTGAAACAGCGATTTCATTGGCATGGCATGCATATCAGAAAGTGTACTTCCTAGATGATATGCTTCCTTCGCACCAGAATGCTTGAGAATCAAAGGTTATGTACAAAAGGGAACTATATAGTTCCCAATATCTAGTGACCCCAAACTAGTTTGACACGGAAACCAGGCAAGATATTCAAATTTATTTCTGAAACATAAAACTCATATGCTATACAGCAATCTATACTGTTTGCTGACTCGCTAAGAAGAACTGAATGTCAAAAGAAAGATGAGACGCACATCATTAACAACTCCCTGGTATGCCAAGCACATCACTACAAGTTTTTATCACATTTATGAAAGGCATATGAAAACATAAATAATCAAGAACCATAATTGACAAAAATGTAGTAACATCTTAAGTGGAAGAGAGTGATTATGCGATGAGACTAACTAGAGTCAAATATGTATGGTTTAATCAGAAGAACTTGGATAGCATATTATGACACCTCAAAATCATATATAGTACTAACTACAACCCATACATGTTCTACTGTCCAAGTTTCTTGTAGCAGTTGTACTAATTTACTCTGCTTTCACTCTGCAACAAAAACACTATGGTGATTCCGAATCAAGAAACTGTTCCATCCTTCATTATTATTTCATTCATTTCAGCTCTAATGGCATCACCAATGTTATACTCACATAATACATGGCATAAAGCAAATAAATGAAAGCAAGTGATAAGAGAGAGGACTTTATTTTGTTCAGACCCATGTAGGAAAAATGAATATTTCCAGTGAATCTCTCTTAAACAGTTAAAGTAGGCTTACCTTTTAAACCTGGAAACATTTCTAAAGAGAGGAGCATAGAGCTCTCCATCACTCATTGCAATAGGAGCATTCTCAATCTGTAATTTTGCACCTATAATTTCCTGGTCGCGTATTGAGGACCATCGTGGCCTCTACAACCCAATGCAAACAAGTTACAAAGTAATCTCTAACTTAAAAAAACAAAGCAATAAAGGAAAGCCTGAAAGGTTTCACATTCAGTAACAGAGTTAATACCATTGCACGTGAAGAACGGCGATGCCGAACTAATAACCGGTTCATCTCATTTATGGACATTATTGTTTTTGGTGGCATATCACATCTCATCTTCTTCCCAAGTGTATCATTCTTCATTGCAGAGTTATTTTTTAACATTGCATGATCACTTTGCAATTTCACATGCGTCTCATCCTTTGAAAGTACTCTTTTTTCTACTCCACCCGAAGATCTGTTCAGAGAAGCAGAACCAATTACAATGCTTACATTAGATGCCAAATTTACCGAAGATGTGATGTTAATCAAGGAATCTATTGGGGTCAATACAATTGAAGGGGATGGAACTACACCCCTAATCTCTGGCATCATAGTTGTATCTGCCTCTAGAATATTTTCTGCTGAAGTTCCATCACTTGGTTCAACAATCTGCTCTGGCGATAGACTGCGTGTACTTTCATTTGCCTTTTCCAAGAAAGAATTATAATCTCGAATGTTCTCTACTGCAGAATTCTCATCCAAATCTACAAAATCCTCAGATGGAAAATCATCATTTTCTATCACATCTTCAACATGCTTAGGATTATTTACCAGGTCTTTCCTGCCTAATGTCATATTATTCTCCATGCTTCTATTCTCTCCCATTGATCCATCAATATGCCCAATTTCTCTGCCCACATAATATTTGTCATTGTTTTTTACCATGCCAACAAACAGAGTAGCATCAACTGAATCTGAATCATTAACAAAGACGGAATTGCTAATCATCACAGACTTGACAGAAGATGATCTTGATAAAAAGCTACCTTTGACACGTATTGGAAGCCCATCCCCAGGCAATAGAGACCAGAGAGCATTTCCATATGGAAGCATTAGGGATTGACACAAGAAATGAGTAACAGCCACTAAACCCACCAAAAAGAGCCAACTCCTTTTTTCAAAGTGGCATAACTTTTGAAATAGAATTGAACATTCCATGCCTTAAACTGCAGTCAATACTAGCATAATGCAGGATCTATCTAATCATCAAGGAAACACACTCTTCACACATTCCTGTATAATTACCCAGGAAAAAAAATATTTAATAAGAAAACACAAAACTGGAGATTAAAAAAGGGGGTTCTTTCACAAGTCAATATAATAAAGCATTGTGTGAAACACATATGTGCTCAAAAGAACCAAATCAAGCATTGATATATGGAAAAGGGAAGACGTGGAAACACTAAAAACATGAACTCCCAAGTTAGGATGTAATCGGTTCGGTTCGGTTCGCATATTGATGAAATTTTTCACCAAACCAATAATGTTGGTTTTATTTTATTATTTTGAGCACCAGAATAAACTACTTCACCAATCAAATTGCACCAATTGAAATAGTTCGGTTCGGTGCGATTTAACTGGTCAAGGACCTCTCAAATTTGAGTCACTTTTTAAAGCTATAGTATAGTCACTAATCTATTGAATTAGCCAAGTATCCCACCGCTTCGAACATATCCAATCCCTCTATTTATCCAATTTCTAGATTAACAAAAATACAAAAAAAATAAAAAATAAACAAATTAAAGGGTTCAAGAATAGTGAGATACAGTTAAGATTATATATAATATGGGTTTACTAATTTAGGTTATAAGGATGATAAGATTAATTAGTTGAGGTTAATTACTTGGCAAGGAGGTTTGGGGCTATTTTAGCCACAAAAGACAAAATAAGCTATTTTAACCACAACAAACAAAACATTACATCTAACCCATAATCATTACACTCTTCTCTCACAAAAAAAGCCAAAAAAGTCAAAAAGCCAAAAAATCCTTCCCAAACCAAACTTTTTAACCCAGACTAAAATAGTCAAAAAAGTCAAAAAGCCAACCCACTTCCCAAACGGAGGCTTAGTATACTTATTAATATCATTATATTATTAGATGGGCAAACTTCACTTTACCCCATGTGATTTGGGCCATGTACGGTTTACCCCCCAATGTTTGGAAATGATCACATAATTTCCACGTGATTTGTGGACTGAAGCGCACCGTTAAACATTCCGTCCAACTTAACAGCAAGTATGAGGTATTTTAGTCCTTTTCATTAAACCAATCCACAAATCACAAGGAGATTATGCGCTCATTTCCAAATATGTTAAATATTTTGTCTAACTTAACAGCAAGTGTAAGGTATTTAGTCTTTTTCATTAAATCGTTAACGGCAGTCCACAAATCACGTAGAGGTTATGCAATCATTTTCAAAAGTTCGGGCGGTAAACTGCACATGACCCAAACTACAAGATAAAGTGAAGTTTTCGATTATTAAATTATATATATTATAAATACAATATATGATAAAGTAGTCGATTTTGGTTTAATTCGGTGCACAAAATGTTTGAACCGGGTACTGAACTGAAAACTGAGAAAAATCAAACTAAAAGATTGCATAGACCAATTCTTGTTAAAAACAAACCAAATATGGACAGTTCGTTCCGGTTCAATCAGTTCTTCCCGGTTTTTCTTACATGCCTACTCCAACAGAGAAACGAAAAATTAAAAACAATATGATGAATTTAGTTCAATACCTTTCAAAATTCTCAAAGAAATAATCATAAAATGGAAGCAAAGAAATTCTTAAATATTCCAATCATAGCATTCATAAAAATCAAAGTAATATAAGGTCTTATAAGCAAGAAGAGCCCTTGTTCCACACAACATCAAATTTCAATTCAAATAATCAGAATAAAACTATTTGAGCAGCCGTACATGCAAATACATACACAATCAATGGATGAAAAGAAACATAATGTGTAGAAGAGAAACATGGAAGAGAGAATGGTTTAAGAAAAAACAGCTTCGAAACTCAAAACTCAATAATTCAACTTCATCTCAGCATATTTTCATCACAAATCAAGAAATAGATCATACTAAAACAGTAATCAACTAGCTCTGTGCATTCAATAACTATCTAAAGTAAACATTCCAAATTCCAAGATATGACATACCCATACATGAAAACAATTGTACACACACACATATATTTATATATATATATATATAGATAGAGAGAGAGAGAGAGCCAACTCCTTTTTTCAAAGTGGCATAACTTTTGAAATAGAATTGAACATTCCATGCCTTAAACTGCAGTCAATACTAGCATAATGCAGGATCTATCTAATCATCAAGGAAATACACTCTTCACACATTCCTGTATAATTACCCAGGAAAAAAAATATTTAATAAGAAAACACAAAACTGGAGATTAAAAAAGGGGGTTCTTTCACAAATAATAAGTATTATACAATATAAAAAAAAATAATAAAAAAAAAAAGTTTATCCACTGTTTGGACATTAGCTAATAATTGGAAAGTTCAGAGACAGAGAGCTGGTGTTAAGCGACTTTGTACTTTATTAAAGGTATGTAAGATTATGGCCTTTATATTCGATGGATTTACCTTGAGTGCCACTTAGCTCACTTATCTCTAGGAGGAGCAGTAAAAGGTCTGGACTGCTAACGTGCGCTGGGGTGGCATTTTGTCGGTTTCCAAAACGGTCGGGTGCTGAAGCTGAGATTGTGGACCCCAAGTAATGACCTTGGATCCTCTACGGCGGAGCACATGCATAATTTTTGGGTTTGTCCAATCACATCGTGCCACTGCTCGGTATTTTAATTTTAGATTAAATTATAAATACACCCCTGAAATTTGTTTAAAATACAGATTATTTCATGTGATTTAAAAAATTATAAATACTCCCTTATCATAATTTTTTATTTAACAAAATTAATTGAAAAAATAAAATTCTCAACTCCTATCATATACAATAATTAAAGGAAAATTATATACAAACCCACTTTGTAAGCCCATTTTCTTGACCCAATGATATGTAAGTGATATGATTGGTTGATTATTGAGAAGATATGAGAGAGAGCATTACCTTAGTTAGCCTCATTGATTGCCACATCAATGGGTTTCAAAATTGGGTCTAATTTTTAGATTTGTATAGTAATGTCCATAATAAAATTACATGAATTATTAATTAAAATAATTTCTAATATCATTCAAAATTGCTAATTGATGTGATGATTTGTTAATAAAAGAAACTATTTGTTATGAAATTAGAAATTTCAAGGACGGAATATAATTTCTAAAATCACATAACACAATTCGTATTTTAAATAAACTTTAGAGGGTGTATTTATAATTTATCTTTAATTTCATTTACTTTTGGATAAGAGGGCAGTACCTTTCTACTTTGGACTTCCCACTTCTTTGGCCCCCACCACCAAAATTGCTTCTCTCTTTATTTTATTTTTTTGGACCCCTACCATAATCCCACATATATTCTTTGAACCCCACCCGTATACCTTTCCCTTGCAACTCCTTCCCTCTTCCAGCAGTCTTCCTCCCACTACGCACGACCTCCTCTTCTGGTAATCCTTCCCTAATGCCCCCTCTCTCACCAACGGCCACATACTCTTCCTCCCGATCTCTACCGTCGCACTTCTAGGACCTCGCTCACATTCCAACAGGCATTCCAACCCTTCTTTTTGCCTTCACGACCACTCTTGTTATCGTTCAGAAAACTATTTCCAAACGAAAGACTGATGTTTGATAGTATGTAGCCGAACAAAAGGCGTATATTTGATTGTGGAGTACCGAACATATTTAACAAGTTCGGTTCTATATAATCAAAAGAAGAGAAATTGACCAAACTGTGAGGTAACAAGAGAAATCGACTAAGAAAGAAAAAGAGAGTAGCGCACAAAAGACAACCATGCTCTAAAAACACAACCCACTGACCCAGAAACTTCATTTTCTTTCTTTTTCTTCTTCCTTCATTTCCTTTCTTTTACATAGCATTGCCTTCTCAAATCTATTATACCCAAAGCACTCTCTCCATTCTATTCTTTCAGTTTTATTCTTCTTCCCTATCACCTCTTTTCTTTTTCTTTTTTTGTAAATCTGTCTTTGTCTTCTGTTCTCTGTATGCCCTTACTTTTCTCTCTAGATTTAGATTATTCTCCATAAATATATAGTTTTGAATTTGGATTGATGAAGATCGCGATGTTCCGGATGTTGTCGGTGGAAGTGGAAGTGGTGGTGATGGGTTGGTCACCAGAGGGTGGGTTGGTTGTTGGAGGGTGTCAGCGAGAGTGAAAGTAGTGATGGGATTAGAATTAGGATTAGACTTGAGAGGATAGAGGTGGGGACAAAATTAAAATTTGATATTAGAACAAAATTATAATAAAACAAAATAGGAGGTCTAAAATGAAAAAGATAGGGACATTTAACTGTCCTCCTTGGATAAAGAATTAAAGGATCATCTTAAATCAACGATCCCTTTATTGCCACAAAAAATATTTTTTTTAGAGAAGAAAAGCATTTTTCGAAACTATTTTTGGATTACAAATTACTTTAATTATTACTACAGTAAAACACACATTTATAGTGTAACCTTGCAATTTGTAATTGGCGTTCTATTGAAGCAAACCAAACTAGTTGAACACAAGTATTTTGATGGAGGAGAAAAATTATTTTGTAGAAGTACTAATAAAAAAATAATATTATACACAATTTTGTACAATATGGTATGATTTATTTTATTTTTTTCTTTTTTTGTTCAAAAAATGAATATATAGATAACATATTGTTAGGGAACATTACGTCTAGGGCTGCAAATGAACCGAGCTGTTCGTGAACAAGCTCAGCTCGGCTCGTTAAGAGCTCGGCTCGGCTCAGCTCGTTTAGTAAACGAGCCGAGCTCGAGCTCGAATATTAAGCTCGTTTAGTAAACGAGCCGAGCTCTCATAAACTTGGCTCGTTTATCTTTATTTAAATTATCGTTTATCTTTATTTAAATTATATATTAAATAATATATAAATATATATAAATACATTATTTATATATTAAAAATATATAAATATATATAAAAATAATAATATAAATACATTTTTTATATATTAAATAATATAAATAATATTTTTTATTTAAATATTTATATTTAAATAATATAAATAATATTAAAAAAAATTTATCGAGCCGAGCTCGAATTTTATTAAAATTAACGAGCCGAGCCAAGCTCGAGCCCAGTTCCTTATTGAGCTAAGCTCGAGCTCAATAAACGAGCTCGATAAATAAACAAGCTCGATAAGTAAACGAGCCGAGCTCGAGCTCAGCAAAACTCAGCTCAACTCGGTTCGTTTGCGGCCCTAATTAGGTCTACGCAACACTACATAACAATTTATAAGAGACTTCACACACTTACATTAGACCGAAGCTATGGTCCCAATACTTGCTCTGGCCATTATTAATTCATTTACTAAAATACAAATGGCTCTCCACTGAATTTTATTTTTATTTTTATTTTATAGGTTTTCACTTGGCATAAAAAATGTCATTATATATATAATTTTCATATATGAATATTTATTTTATTAGTGTTTCAATAAATTAAAAAAAAATGCTTTTAACATCATTTATGATTCTGACCCCAAAAAAAAAAAAAAAAAAAATTCATCAAATCAGTGGAATTTGGAGAAAAATATTAGTTATACATTTCAATGGGAAGTTTGTATAATTCAGCTTGTGTCATTAGATGAATTAGAATGTCCAAGGCAACTGAAGTTTTTGCAACAGCAAAATCTTGCCCAAAAACAGAAGACTCATTTATACCATTTTCCTTCCTTCACAAAAGATCAAATTGTTTGAAAATTGGCATGCTAAGACAGATTAGAACTTCAACGCACAACCCGTTCCAAATCTTGAATGAAAACTTGGTAATCTCAAGACTCGATTAGAATTTTGTGTCACAACCCTCATCATCAAAAGAGCAGCAGAAGACAAGCTCAAAATGTTGGGTCATCTTGTACCTGAGATTTTGAGGCAATATTGCAAAGGCTCTAGAGAATAAGCACCACCGATTGATTGGAACCAATCACTGAATCAATATGCTATGTACATTGAAAGATGCAGACCAACGATCAGTTTTGGCCGCGGTGCTTGGCTCTCCCAAAATCATCAATTCCTCCAATGACAATCACAAATGACAGATTTTCCTATGGTTTTGTGATGTGCATTGATTTTCTTGATTTATCAGAATTCAAAAATCCACATTTCTCTAACAAACCAAACTAGGCCTTTTGTCCCAATCAAGTGGAGTCGGCTACATGAATCCTATTTTGCCATACTCTCACACCATCATCTAAAGTTTTACCTGAAAAACTCGGTTGTACCACACTGAGTGAAGGGTCATATGAAACAAATCATACTTCACCGCCTTTTTGTGCCAAAGAAAATGCCGTTGCACCATCTTCACTCTCTGCTGCATTGCAAGGTACTGCTCTTCTGGAATCGAGAGAAGTATATTCCTCAAGTTTGGGATATCTCTCTCTAAAACAAAAACAGAAAACGCTTCCCAATCGAGTACCTCAAAGAATGGAGGGACATAATTATCTGATATGATCACCGGCACACACTCGTAGTAAATGGATTCAACGACCCGGGGTGTGTGGACTTCATAACCCCTTGCACAAATGCAATACTTGCTGCTTTTCATGTACTCTCTGTACTTCAATTTGCCTTCAATGTCGCGGGGCATAGGGCCAACAATCTTCATGTCCAGTTCTTTGTTCTCCCAATACTGTAGCAAAATGGGACGCAGATAACCATGCATGCTTCCTGCAAAGAACGCCAATATAGGTCTCTCTGAAGGGGGGTTTCCTCCAAGATCTTTATGTGGATCCTGTGAAGTGCGGATATATGTCACTGGCAAAGATACGTCCTTACCTACTCTGAAGCCTCGTGCAACATTGGCATTGCAAAGAGCTCGGATGGAACTCCCCATATTATTCCTTGTGATCCGAGTTGCCTGCAAAAACCAGGTTTTTCATTAGAAAACAGTATTATTTGTTGTATAAAACTCAAATTGGCTAAGCTTATGGTTTGGCAGTTCAAGTTATTTTTAGTGTCAAATGTTCCATCTATATCTGGTATGGATAAGAGCCTTTGCCTAAAGGTAGGAGTGGGAATTTCAGATACAACATGTTAACAAGACACAATAAACGGGTAGGGTTAGTGTTGAGGGGAATCTGACATGAACCCGAGATGACATGACACAATTCCCAACCCTACCTAAATTTATAGAAAGCCAATAGCTCTGAGACAATGCTAAATTACAGTACCAATAGCACATTTTATAAACGAATAAATAGATCAAATTATCTAATAGGGTCAAGATTGAAATTTTGTGAGATAAAAAAGAAAAATGATTCTGAAGTGAGGCATTAGAAGCGAACCCAATCATGACAAGCAACAAGAAAATGATCTGCTCCTCTAGCTCGGTTCCAAAAACGATACTTTTTGGCGATAATGTCTGTGTAATTCTTTAGATATTTCTCCATGTCCTGACGATTGGCAAGTATATCTTGATGAAGAGTACTCCTTAGCTTTTGTGAACTAAAAGGTAAATAAAACAAGTGAGCTTTTCGGGGGTCCCTCGCAGCAAATTGTTTATTTCCCTCTATCAGTTTCATGAACCATCCTTCAGAAGCATAAATTCCTCTCAAATATGGCTGATGGAACATAGGCTTTTCTCCTTCCTTGTAGATATAAACTTTGAGCATTCGTTCCATCAACTCATAGCTCCTGCAATTATTTTCACATGGAAGCACAAAGTTAATGTCCATGTATTAGATCTTAAATTCAGTTATTTAATTGGATGCCTAAAAATTAAAACAAAATGAAAAGTACTTGCTAGTTCAACTCCCCACGAAGGCACTCAATGCATGATCAGTGGTCTCCTTGCAAATTTTGTGCCTAACATTGATTTTAATTCTTTTATATCCTATTTTAATTTATCTATTTTTCCCATTTAAGAAGCACAATATATTGTCTGTGTCAAATTGCTTCTTTTTTTAGGTGTGGCAGAGCTAGGAATGTTCAACCAACAGTCAAATGGCAAAATACAATACCTCAAAAAGTTTGCAAAATTGCAAGTGTTCCCAGGACAATATATAACACAAACCATTCAAAAGTTAATAAAAATATGTGTATCTTTCAGGTTATATGAATTTACCTAACAAACATGGAAAAATTTCGAAAAAGTGAAGGATGGAGTTCTGGGCTGTTCTTTATAGTAGGAGCATTCTCAATTTGTAATCTTGCATATTGAAGTTCCCGATCACGTGGGGAAGACCACTTTGGCCTCTGTAACCAGTAATATAAGAAGTCAAAATTCTAGAACACATTAATTTATATACTAAAGCATCAAACTCAAAACCAATTAGCAATGAGTGGAGTAGCCTCTAGGGCATGTTTGATTAGTAGGATAATTGGGATTGTTGACTCACAATCCCATGTTTGATTGCAAATTTTATTAACCGGATTACATGTATAGCGGACATTCAAACAAACAAACAACACCCATGTATGTTTGGAAGGAGAAAGATTGGGTACATACCTAACCTTTGGCATAATACACAAAGTGATTATCCCGAGACTCGAACCCATAACCTCAAGGTTATTAGGCAGAATTGACAAATTGACGAATTTTTAATATTGAGAGAGGCTGGGAGTCATAATTTCAAGGATGAAATTAAAAAATTAAAAAATTAATAGAAAAACGAATACATAATAAATGGTTATCTCAGTAACGAGTGGAGGTGAGAGATGAGAGGATAGACTCAGGCAGAGACTTGACCCACTGGACACCACCCAAAAACCAGCTCTGATACCATGTCAAAGCATCCAACTCAATACCAATTGGCAACGAGTGGAGTAGCCTCTAGAGTATATGGACCAAGCTTTGGTACCTTATGAAGGCGATGTGGGACAAGTTTAAAGCTATATCCTTATTGCTCAAACATAAACCTTAAAAGTCCAAAACCATACCTCTGATTTAGAAGAATCAGAACTCTGAAGCAATAATAAAGTCATTTGGTATATCGATGTTGGCTTAACATGCCTCCGGTTCATAATGAAATTCCCAGACACCAAAGAATTATTGCTCCAAGAAGCCGAAACAGTTTGCAACAGCTCATTATTCGTACCATTGGACTGGGCTTCCATAAACAGTGGAGTTCTTGAATCTGCATCGAAGTTTCCTATCTCATTTGAAGAGTTTCTTGGCGACGTGACTCTGAGGGACTCAAAACCATATTGATTGCGAACTTTCCCTGGTAAAGAAAAGGCGTTTGTCTTTCGAGTTTTGTCCAGTGTAGCATTTTTATCTGATTCTTTAACGTGTCCCATAGGACCAAGTTGAAATTCTATAACCATTTCTGGAGTAGAGCTATTATCTGCTTGTGTGAAATTTCCCATTCTCAAACTCTTATCAAGGTCCAAATTGCTCTCAAATGCGATATCATTGCATGATTTTCCATCCTCATCCATTTCAAAAGAACTATCCATCTCTCCGTCAACATCTGATTCCATTTCAGTTTCACTGCCAGCCTTGACATCGGAATCAGAAGACGTAGAATTATTAACCACCCTATGAACTATACCGATACTAGTCAATTTTGAACCAACCGTCACAAAAACTGATCCCTTAGTTGTATGTGATGGCGCTGACATATAATTTTTGTAAGGGAACGATAACAATTGAAATAGAACTACAACATAAACTATCATTCCTATGATCAAGAGCAGTCTCTGGATTTGTATGTGATACAACCTTTGAAATAGAACTCCAACTTCCATATTGAAAGTTAGAATGATCAATTAACCGTCTTAGGTACACTCCGGTGGCTGGGAGATCAAATAACTGGCTGCGAAGTGTCATACCATCCCCTGAAAAAAGGTGTTATAAAAAATACGAAGAGTTTATCTATCAGAAACAATACTTAAATCTACTTATAGAAAATGCCATATTGTATAGAGAAAAGATGTCATGTGAAACTAAACGAAAAGATACATCTATAGAGAAAATTGAACAATGAAGACCTAGGGGTGGCCTTGGCCATTGAAGCATTTTCTTACCAAAGTGTGATGCCTGGGTTCAAGTCTTATTATCTCTCTTCTAATAATTTAAAAAGAAGAAGAAGAAGAAGAATTACAGATGAAAAATTACAAGACATAAAACAAACCTCAGCTCATGCCTCAGACCCACTTTAACAGACACAAAACAAACTTTAACAGACACAAAACAAAAACAAATTTTGGAGCAAGTCTAATGGGAAGCATCCATACATTCTAGTCCATATCATCTACATCGAAGCTTTCTTATTTTCGCATCATTAGCTTTTCAGAAATCCAGTACCCAAATAAAATAACCAAGTGTATACATTATATATTATAATGTGAACACCTCACTTTTGTATTCCAAAAATGTCACAAAAGAAGTATATATATATATTTTTTTTTGATGTGTTGAACAAAAGAAGTATTTTTTTGCCATTCAAATACTAAAATCTCCACAAACTGCAACGAATAAATACGAAAAATCAATGGATCACCCATCTCATCTGGTAATTGCTTCTGTTTTTCGTATTTGCACCATAGAATTCTCACTTTGTAGCTGACAATTGTAAACGCATAGGATGTGCACTGGCCGTGAGTATATTTATTCTATTACATAAGACATACACCTCAATTGATGTGAACGCCATCACACTTTTTTAATTTTCCAATAATACCCATTATATCCAGTAATTGTCACCTCCAACAACTGCCGGACCATTTTTTTCATTCATCAAGCTGTTGAAAACTATAAACGTTTTCCTCATTTATCAAACCGCCCCTCAATCACCAAATCATTCAAAAATTTAAATATAAAATTACAAATGCATAGCATTAGCATCCACCGGTATAAATATTCCCATATGTTCCCACCATTAAATTAGTTTACACTGATGTCAGAAGAATTTTTAGCATAATCAACTTTTTGATTTAAAGAAATATCAAAACCCACATTCACCTGTTGTAATGGTTAAATCAATAGACTTTCCTTATGCATACAATCCAACTTGTCTCAACTAATCCAAAATATACGGAACTGGTTCAGAATTTCAGTAAAGAACAATCAAACACCAAAGACAATTGAGTAATTTTTTTTTCCAGAAGTACATCTGAACCCATGAAATCCCAAAATTTGTATAAGCTAGAACTAAACAATGAATTGAGTATACCCACCAGTAAAATAATTTTTTACGCAAAATCTTTTTCCTAACCCACCAAGAAAAAGAGATATCAGATGTAAATCTGAATCTATTGTAGTGTTTGGTTAAGGGGAAAACCGAGGTCCAAAAAGGAGAATTTTTTTCCAGGAAATTTGATAGCAAACACCCAAAATATGTATCTATTATGGTGTTTGGTTCAGAAGAAAAACAAGGTAAAAAAAGGAGAATTTTCCCAGGAAATTTGATGAGAAACACTGAGAAGATGATAAAAAGAAAGAATGTGCAACTTGGAAACAGTAAAGAGTTGATGTTACCAGAGAAGCAGAAGAGGAAATCGAATCCCTCGCTCAGTGAGACCTCTATGAGCTGGAAAAATGAATACCCATTACAGTAAGAGGCTCAACTGAAAGCTCTCTCAAGCTACAAATGATTTGCAAAACACACCTAGATGAGAGGATACTATTTTAAAATTAAAAAAAACAAAACAAAACAAAAACATTTTTTAATTCTTTGAGAATATTCAAAGTATACACAAATTTTTTATTAAATTTAAATAAATATTTGAGAAATTTTTTTACCTAATACTATTTATTCTAATCCTGATTTTTTAATTTTCATTAAATAATCGTTTGATCGGCCAAGTGTATATTCAGGCGATCATCCGACTTGTGTTAATTAACGACATTTGAAAGGAAGAAAATTTGTAAGCCTAGTTGACCAAGCGGCAAGCGATTGTCAGGGAACGGTCGTTCAGTGTATGATCCGAATCGCGAAAATTTATATTTAAATTATTTCTTAAAAGAAATTAAAAAAATAAATTAATTAATTAATTTTATTCAGAATCTACTTAAAATATAAATAATTGTGTAAAAAAAAATTAATTTTAAATTAACTCAATTCAATCACTAACAAAGACCTTATTAATAATAAAAATTTTGTAGATGTTCAATAATTATTGTTATAAATTATTAGTAAAAAAAAAAAATCAGATTCGGTGACAGAATATGCCACATACTAACTTGCATGTAAGTTTGGTAAATTTCACCACATCATAACTCTTGGGTGGAGTAGATTTGTGGCAAAGAATAACAAAAAGAGAGAGAGAGCTCTGCCTATATATACCCAAGAAGGACTAAGCTTATTCTCACATATAAACAAAAGAAGGCAGAAGTATATACGGGTGAGGAGAGATTCAGTAGAAGGAAAAGAAGAGAGGAAGGTTAAGGAAGTAAAATTTTTCTACCATTTCATCACCCATTTGAATCCTACTATTAAGTAAGAAAACTCTCTCAACCCTTTCATTTCTTTTTATTAGTGAAGTTTTCAGATTATGTCCTTGTGATTAAAATGACTACTCGTAAATAGAAATTTTATATATATGTGTAGGAATTTTGTGATGTGTATATCAAGTGTTTGAAGATGTTGATAGTCTTAAAATCATCTTATTATTGTAAAGAAATAAGTTTGCATGTGTAGTTTATACATTTAAAGAGAAGATTGAAAATAATTAATCTGTTTTGAGTTTGCCAGAATGTTGTTCGAATTTTTAGACAATTTTATACTCAAAATTTTGAGATGATTTCTTCTAAAAAGTTGTTGATAATGATGTCTAATTCATTCAGGAATTTTGGCAACAATTTTTGAGCTTTTTACGGAATTATACAAAATTTTAACTAAATCTGAAACTGTGTTGAAAATAATCTGTTTTGAATCTGCCAGAATGTTGCCCGAATTTTTAGGCAATTTTACACTCAAAATTTCGAGATGATTTTTTCTACAAAGTTGTTGATAATGATGTCTAGTTTATCCAGGAATTTTGGCAACAATTTTTGAGTTTTTTACGAATTTATACAATTTTTTAAGCTAAATCTGAAACTGTGAGACAGATTTTACTATTTATTTGAATAATTTGTGTTTAATATATAAAGTTACTGATAAAGGATTAATACTGGGTATTCAGGGTGAGCCCTGATTTTTAATAATTTTTAAGTAAATTGTGTCGCGAAACCCTAAGATGGCACGGGGATTATTTGAACCCTTAGCGGTATTTGGTTTTGGAATAAGGGTAGATGTGCAGGTGGCACGTAGGGAAGTTACGTACCCCTTGCAGACCGTTGCCTTGGGGCAGACCACAGATGTCACGGCTTGGGTATATATCTCCGAGCGTGGGTATCTTTGGTAGTTCTTGAATATTTGACCAAGGGGAGTTTTCCAAATTAACCGTGGCCATGACTTAGTAGTTGGTAAGTTAAACCTCTTTGGCGAGATTTCAAAGGTCACCTAAGCTATTAAAATTGTTTGAATTACTTTATTGGTTTTAATTTATGTTTACAATTATATTATTATCTCGTATTTATAATCTCATTATTTTCTCTAAAAAAGAATGGTAGGTTGATTATGTTTTGCTTACTGTGTTGAAAAACTCAGGGCATATATTTGTTGCCCTGGCGTTTCATGTCATATTATGTCGAGGAAGGGACTGAGGCTGAAAGAGCAGCTGCTGCTAATATCGAACATTGGCTAACTTAGAGTCAAGATTTTATCAAAATAAAATATTGTTATTTCTTGTATTAGTATTTAACTATGTTGTGACGTTGTGTGTAAACTTGTAATTTTATTTTGTTATTGGACTTTGACTATGTAAAAATTTAAAATTTTATAATTAGTAGTTAAAATTTTATCTAGCAAGTTATTGTTATTTTAAGTCTTATGATGTCTCAAAAAATAAAAAAATTTGGGACGTCACACTAATAACTATTTACAATAATTTGATAAAAGATTGTGTTCATTCTTAATTTGATGAAAAGTTCAAAAAATTCTCAATTTGATATTGATTTGATGTTAATGTTGAAGCACCAAAATTGAACTTCTTTCATCAAATTTAAATTTAATAAAAAAAAAAGAATAAATGTTGGAGATGCTTTTGTTTTTTTGAGTACAATAAACAAACAAGTTGAGGCAAAATGAAAAATCAAGCAACCGTTTGGTTTAATTTTCAAATTTGGTTTCGGGTGTCTTAAAAAAGTGTATTTTTTATCTTTTTATAAAAAGATGTGTAGAAAAATAGAGAGGTGGTGTAATGAAAAAAAGATAAAAAGATGGATTATATAATGTACCCCAAACCAAGCCTAACTTTTGAATCAATATCGTAAAAAACATGTTTGGATAATCAATTTTTAAAATTCCTTTCAAAATTATTTTTCCCTTCCTCTCTTATTCTCTCTTTTTTTTATATTTATTTTATTATTAATAAATTAATTAATCACTTTTTCTTCTCTCTCTTATCGCCTCTCGCATTCTCTTACATTCTACACATCAATCAATTAAAAAAAATTTCACATTCATATATTCAACTATAAAAAAAAATTAAAAAAATATAAATCATCCCAAAACTATTTTTAAAACTCATTATCAAACAAATTTTTAATTTTCAACAACTTATTTTGTTCAAAAATATGTTTAATTTTTAGTTTATTTATCAAACGAGTTGATCTCGAATGAATTTTTAACGAGTTATGAGTTGAATTTGAGTAGCTTAATTTTTAATAATACACATAAATTTATCGAGTCAAGTATTGTGTTGTTCAAGCATGTTTGAAAGCTTAATAAGCTTTAAAATGTGTTCAAGTGTGACTTATTTGACGAGTCGATTTCAATTGAGTTTTTAATGAGTCAAATATTAGAGGTCGAATAAGTTGATTCATTAACAACCTTATTTCCTATTTCGTATTATCGTAGGTCATGCTTGTTTAGATGAATTAGATAATGGAGAATTGTAATCCATCAAACTATTAATCGATTTTCATGGTTTATTTGGTTGAAAATGATGTATATCTCATATTTATTCTCATAAGATTAAATGTCTAGAAAGGATTATCCTATTGAATCTAATATTTAATTGAAATATTATGAAAAATGATAAATGGTTAATAAAATATTTTACCTTTTTCAACTATTTACTAAATTTGTCTTTAATATTTTATTTTTAAAAAAATTAAAAAAATATATAATTTTTTAATTAAATAAAACATCAATAAATTTATTTAAAATAAATAAATAAATTAAACAAATTATCAACAAAAATTTAAAATAAAACATCTATAAAAATTTATTTAAATAATTAAATAATTAAACATCAACAAAAATTAAATTATTTTATTTTATTTTATTTTTTAGTTGAGAATTTTATATTTTATTTTATTTTACTAAATATAATACATTATGAAATTAAATACTTAGAAGAACAAATGTGTCATTTTATAACTTAATATCATGGGGTTCTAGTCTCACCATTTCTATCACACATCCATCCCTAGGACACAATAGTTTAACATATATGGAATTTATAGTCTGTAGTCCTGTAGGACTCCTAATCCGATCTACAAATTCTTAACAAACAATAGATTTTATGGTGGCTTGAACTTGGAGTCCAATCCTTCCAAACAAACACCCCTTTAATGTGCTATTTTTTTTTTTTTTTTATCAATATCCAAACTGCTAATCCGATTTATAAATTCTCAACAAAACAATAAATTTTATGATGGATTGAACATAGAGTCTAATCCTTCCAAACAAACGCCCCTTTAATGTGTTATTTCTTACCCATATCCAATTCCTACGGGAAAGCCTTAAGTACATATAGAATGTATATCATATGTATCTTATTATATATTAGATACATTACAAATATAATTATTGAGAATTGCTTAAAATATATATTATTTTGAGAGATTTATTAGAAAATTGTTTTTCAAGTGGTTGTATTTCAATTAGTTCAGAAGATATTCTTGTATTCCAATAAGTCATATTATTTGAACATTTGGTCTACCCAATTTTAATTCTTATATTTAAAGTATTTTATGGACATTTATACCTTTATAAATATTTTTTAAACGGTTGGTAATTTGGTGATATGAATATTTATATTTTACAATGTGAATATTCATATTGACGTGTGAATGTTCACATTGATAGTTTGAACATTCACATTGACATGTTAACATTCACATTGATGGTATAAACATTTACATTGATGATGCGAACATTCAGATTGACGGTGTGAATATTCAAATCACGGAACATTCACACTGTAAACATAAATATTATCAGGGGCATTTTGGTAACTATGTCACTCATAGGACTTATTGGAATATAAGAAAATAATATGGACTAAATGGAACATAAGTAGGTGAAAAAGAATTTATGAAAAAATGCCCCTATTATTTTTTATGATTTGAAAAATTACAAATACTCCATTGTCATAATTATTTAAACTAATTGTTGTTCGTAAAGGGGGTTTGTTTGGCATGTACTAAAATAATACATGTTCTTTTAGTACACTATCTTATTTGGGTCACAATCACCTTATTTGAATCACATTACCTCTCTATCACATGAATTTGGGGTTATGCGGGGTGCACAATAGCAACTATTGTGCAGTCAAATAGGTCCATTTTGGGACTCATTTCGATAATTCGAACCGTTCACATTTTAGAATATATCAAGTAGAACATACCTGTAAAAAATCAAATTGATCGAATATTGTTTACTCTTTCATCCACTCACATTTGTATCTACAAAAATAAATAACAATTGTGATTTAAAGTATTAAAATGAATACAAATGTAAGTGGATGAAAGAGT